AGGATTGTTACTGGCTAACAGCTTAACCCATTATGGTTCCTTGATGATGGCAGCTGACAATTATAGGAAATACATTTTACTTAAGTACTATTTAGTTTCTTATGATTTTCTTATTTGTGGCTAGATATCTGAGAGTATCACACAAAGTGATGAGTGGACAATGCCTGCGTCTAACAGGAGTGGCCTTGTCATCTCCCTGAAGTTGTTGGTGGAGGCAGGCCGCACTCTTCGAGTGCTTCCTGCCTCCTCTCAGCTCTATCAGAAGCATATTATTTATACTATTGCCTTTAATTTTCAAAACCGCCCATTGCTTGCAAAGGATCTATCTCTCTCTGTCTCTCTAAAAAACAAACAAACATACATACAAACAAACAAATACCCCATCGCATCAATATTCCCATTTCACAGATAAAGAAACAGAAGTCCAAAGAGATATATAACCCTACCCAGGCCACACAGCAGGAAAGTGGCAGAGCTGAGTCCATTTCATTTGAAGCCCATGATCTTTCTAGAGCTTCACAGAGCACCCAATGTGTGGTGCTGGGTGAAAGGATGGTGCTGGGTGCAAGGCACCTAAGACCACATGTAGAGAGTTTACAAACGCAAATGCCTAAAGTGCCCGGGAGGCACCTCAGATGCTGAGGGTCAGAAGAGGTGAAAGTAAGATGAGAAATGGCAACTGACATCAGTCTTTGTGAGTGGCAGGAGCTGTCTGCCTTCTCTGAAGGGAACGGCTAATAGCAGCTATCAGCTGATTGTTGCTATATAAGATCACGGGCCCGATGTGGCCAGGTACATTAATTTTTCAATACAAGCTAGCAGTATACATCTTAATGTGAGATGGCATAATTTAAAAATGCTAGGAACAAATTCAAATTTTCTTAAAATACCGTACAGGCCAAATAAGCCACATCTATCCGGTAAATCTGCTCCGGGGGCTGCCAGTTCGAGGCCCTAGGGATCCATACCGACCCAGGGAGTGGTCCACAGCCAGGCAAAAAGAGAAGCCCTGGGTGGATTGGACTGGTTTTGATTGAGCTCCTTGAGTGAGGAGGTGCCCTCATTTTGAACAAGGGACGCTTATTCTAGGGCACTGAAGCACATCAGAGAAGGGAATATGACTCAACCTTTTCCCAGAATCTTCTTAAAGAGACCTGTCTAACCAATAACTAAAGCAACTCTAAATATATGAACCCACGTTATTTTTCCCTTGCCTCTATGCTAATGCATAAGCACTTCATTGATAGATATGCTTACCTGCCATATTTCTACATGATAATTAGTAGCAAGATTATGTTAGTTATTTTAATAAAAAAACAGCTTAATTAATAATGTGAATCCAATTTTTTAAGTAAACTACAGTCATGTGCCCAATAACTACATTTCAGTCAACAACGGATGGGATCCACATATACCATGGAGATCCCATTAGATCATAATGAAGTTGGTGCTCATAATTATCACCTAGTGACACAGTAGCCATTGCACTATTACTTTTATGTGTTTGTGGTGATGCCTCATGTGAACAAACCTACTGCACTGCCAGTCGTATAAAAGCATAGCACATACAATTATAATAGTAGACTATACCATACGGGCACTGTGTAAGTGCATTCTCCAAGACTCACACAACAATGAAATGACCCAACAACACATTTCTCAGAATGCATCCCTGTGTTAAGCAGCACATGACTGCAGCTGTAGAGTAAGAGGAAATGGCACAAAACGTTGAACGTATTTATTCAAAATAGTACAATATCAAAAACAGAAAACTACAGTTAAAACTTACTGATATACGTTTGAAGTAGAAAGCTCTGATGTGAGAACCTAGTTGCAGGACACACTGAGGAATAAGCAGATGTAGGAGGCTGCAGGTGATATAGTAGACATCAACTTCACCAATGTGACTTTTCCCCAGCAAAGCTCTGCAACACTGGGACAGCCATGCGGAGGCAGTCAGCTAGACTGAACCTGGGTTGTGAAGGCTCAAGAAAATGACAATAAATCAGAGGAAGAGAGCCTGAGTGAAGGCCATGACATTTACACTTGATAAGGAAAGGAGGTAACAGGCAGAAAGTCAAGGTCAAGGGCACAGGGGACTTAAACAGTTAGAAAATGAGGTTACCAAAAACTTACCACATACACTATTATATTTTACATTTTAAAGTATACTGCAATTTTCAAAGCATGTTAAAAAGTACATTTTATTTTTTACAGCAGTTTCAGGTTCACAGAGTTCAAATATACCCTTGTTCCCACACATACACAATCTCCCCTACTACTGACATAGTGGTATATTTGTTAAAATTAGTGAATCTACAGTGATACATCATTATCACCCAAAGACTACATTAGCGTTCACTGGCGTATATTTTATGGGTTTGGATAAATGTATAATTACATTAATCCACCATTATAGCACCAGACAGAATAGTTTCACTGCCCTAAAAACCCTCTGCCTGTTCATCCCTCCCTTCCTGCTAACCTCTGGTAACCTACAGTAACCTACAGTATCTTTTTTACTGTATCCAAAGTGTTGCCTTTCCTAGAATGTCACATAATTGGAATCATACAGTATATATAACCTTTTCAGATGAACTTCTATTAATAATATGCATTTAAGACTCCCTCTACCTTTTCATGGCTTAATAGCTCATTTCTTTTTAGCACTGAATAATATTCCTTTGTATCACAGTTCATCCATTCACTTAATAAAGGACATCGTGGTTGCTTCCAAGTTTTGGCATTTATGAGTAAAGCTGTTATAAACTCCATGTGCAGGCTTTTATGTGGCAATGCATTTTTACCTTCACAATCTGAATATTAGAGCACATTTTAAAAATTGCATCCTAACAAGCCGAATACAGCACACCAAATCAAAATATTTATCAATGTGATGGTAGTTTATCCTTCACATATGCAATGAAACAACAAAATCGAAAAATACTGCCATCTTATATAATAAAAGGCTAATATGCAAATCCGTCCCTCAGCAGTTGGACTGATCAGGAGTTTGATCACTCACTATGACATGTACTGACCACCAGGGGGCAGCAAGGAACAAAGGAAGGCCTCTATTGGCCCTGATTGCGGGCCAGGCCTAGGGATCCTACCCGTGCATGAATTTCGTGCACAGGGCCTCTAGTATTAGAAATAAAAGATTATCTCAACTAATGTTTTGAGGAATTAGCTCTCTATTTTGTCACTTCTCCCTATCTTCCTTCTGCAATCCTCAACTCTTAACACAGCATGAAATAGTGGATCAATGGATACTGTAGGCAAGTTGTTTACGTTTGTGTCTGCTTGAATATGAGGCTTTGACACTTAGGAGATGCATGGCTTAAATCAATTTCCTCACCATCTTTGTGTCTCCTCTTCCTCATCTGTAAAACAGAGATTTTTAGTAGTGTTTTCCTCATGGATTAAGTGAGTTTATACCATAAAAACTCTTAGAATAACACCTGACACATACATGTTTGTCAAATAAAATGAATAATGTGTGCCTGGATCTCTTATGTGAATGTTGGTCTCAAAGGCCTGTACATATTCTGATTATAGGTTTCTCAGTTGGGTCAAACATTCAGGTCTACTAATTGATTTTTCCCCCTCTACCTACAAGCCAACAAGTTAGCCTGTTACTTTTTCACAGATGCTGAAAGAAGACAGGAGACAATGTGAGTCAGAGAAAAAGATTTGTTTTACGCACAATACAACATGAAAAGCATGCACATCAGAATGCTTGCATGAATCCCTCTTGCCCCCAAGGTCCACGGGGGTGATGAAAAGGGCTGAATAGATGCCAGATGTGCAGTGGGAAAACAGCGAGCTTGGGAGGACCCACTGCTTTTCTAGCGGGTGGGAAGCTAAGCTTGCTCTATCCCGGAGGGAGATGTTACTTCGTCCCTCAAGATTGCTGCCAACACAACCGTGGATAAATAGAGTGATGTGGTAGAAAGCCTCCAATATGTCCCATAATGGTTCCTGCCTTCTGGCATTCACTCCTGCAATTAAAGATTTTGCTTCTGAAATGAGGTTATAAAAAGACTATGGCTTCTGTCTTGGACACACTCTCCCTTGCTCACTCTGGGGAAGATAGCTCCAGCCCATACCTATGGCTAATGTTTTTCTGGTATATACTTACCTGTTATATGGACTGAGAGAGGACAGCTGAAGCCACAGTAGCTTGAGGGTTCAACATTGTCAAAAAATAAATGTTTGTTGCCAAAACCGGTTTGGCTCAGTGGATAGAGCATTGGCCTGCAGACCTGAAAGGTCCCAGGTTCGATTCCTGTCAAGGGCATGTGCCTTGGTTGCGGGCACATCCCCAGTGCGGGGTGTGCAGGAGGCAGCTGGACGGTGTTTCTCATCAATGTTTCTAACTCTCTTTCTCTTCCTCTCTGTAAAAAAATCAATAAAATATATTTAAAAAGAAAAGAAAAGAAATGTTGTTTTAAGCCTTTGTTTCAGAGTAATCTGTTATGTGATAGTAGATAATACAAGTGGTCAGGGTCTTGCATGCTTGACAAAGAGGGGCTTGGGAGATCCATAGATAAGTTTCTCCCAACAAGGGGAAGCTACAACCTCTGTAAAGGGGTAGACAATACCATCTTCCTAGAAAAGGGCTGACATGCCTAGGGTCCAATATCTAGGAAAGAGGCAGACAATGAGATTGGAAACTAGAATTTGGAAGGAAGTCCTTAGCTGGAACTAGCCTTATCCATTTGGGGACTAATTTTTGAAGAATCTTGTTTGCTTGAGGACATAGTGCAGGAAGAAAAAAAAAAAAGGCATGTGCTTAGTGTATGCAGTGGGAAGCAAAGTAGGGAGGAATCCTCTTATGGTGTCAAAAGCTGACGTGCCTATACTGCATTTAGTGAACCACATTATGTAGTTGTATATTGCTCCCTGTACTCATTTGCCTTCTGTTCAGCTGGAGCCCTTTGTAAACTTTTGTTTAAATATTTTCTGGGTCTTATCTGTAATACTTTTCCCCCCCACATACTTGTAGCAAGAAGTACTATCAAATTCCACTCATTGGGCGAGAGACCCTTGTGTTGTTTGCAAAAACCTTCTTCTTGTGTAACACACTACCTATACTTGAGAGTCAATGGGCCAACTCAGGCTCTAATGATGTGCAGGTTATCTGTAATACTTATTCCACAGTATTAAAAGGGAAACATTGCCCCCTGGAGGCCAGAATGGCAATGCCCAGAGACAACCCTTTTCCCAACGGAGAGGTAGGAGAAGCTAGGATAGACAAGGGAGATGCCTAGGTTCTTCATAAGTGTTAAAATAAAAATAAAATTAAAAAGAGATAAAATTAAAAATCAATTTGATTTAACGCTTTTAAAAATGGCATAAACATATGTGACTATGAGGTGATGGATGTTAACCAGACTTATTGTGATGTCACAATATATACAAAAGACTGATAACATCCTGTGCTGGTTTATATCCATACACTGTTGGCATAAGCACACAGGTTTTGGGGATGGCAAATTGGAAGGACTTAGAATTTTACATGTTTCTTTGACCCAGTAATTCTACTTTTTGGAATCTAGTGTACTGAAATATTCCTACATGACCCTAAAGCTATATGTACCCCCCAAAAAAGTCACATAAAATTTGTAAAGGGCATGATGGGGGCACAACCTAAATGCCAACCACTAGGGGAGTGGGTAAATAAATTATGGTCCATGGCAGAATATTCTCAAATGGCTGGGAGATTGTACTAGGTAACTCCTCAAATCTCTTCTATCTCTTCCAAATTTAGGCCAATTCATCCCAGACCTTGCCTTGAGGCTCCAGCCCATGTTTATGGCTAGTGTCTTTCTGGTCTACTGCTCTGTACATTTATCTGTTATAGGACTAAGAGAGGACAACTGAAGCCACAGTAGATTGAGGGTTCAAGAATCCTGACTCCCAACCCTCTGTCACTTTCAAAATATCTAATGTGTTTCTATCAAACGTCTCCTACTTTAGGGCCTGATCTAATAGCCAAATTTACTTAAACTACATTTTAAAATCAGTCTCATCTATTATCCCTTATGTCTATATAAGTTAAGTAGGGTATGTCCATCTTACACGGAAAAAAAACTATGCATCAGAAAAATTAAATGGTTTCTCTAGCTTGTAAGTGGCAGAACCAGGATTAAGTCTAGAATGTGGAAGCACAGGTTCAATGAAGATACTGCCCCCCCCCCTTTTTTTTAAATAAATGAAATTACATTAGATATCAATGCAAATATGGTTTATGCTGGATTTGGAATTACACCTTGCATTTGAATCAAACTAATAAATAATTCAAAAGGATTAACAGTAGATGATTTTTAAAAAATCCTTTTACTTTAAAATGGCAATATTCATGCACAATAACCTGTTGAAGCAACAAAGCAAAGAGAACTAGTGATCTAATTCTAGTTACTGCAGGTCACTAGATTCAGCTCCCCTGGCAAAAGAGGCTAATGATAGCAAAGAAATCAAAGTTGTTCCTGCTCAGAGACAGACGTTGAGGTGAAAAAAACATGCATTGTTAAAGTGGAACCAAATTTGGCTTTTACTGATGTTATCTCCAGTTCAAACTATTTTTAATTTTTCTAATTTCTGAGGTGAAGAGAGCTGAGGTTAGCAAGTTAAAGCATTATCTTAATTGTTTTTAAAAACATTTGACAAACTGTGCTGTTTTCAGGTTATGTTAATTTAGTAATAGTAGACAATTCACAGTGAGTAAGCAGGTCAGGACCTGAGAAGACAATGATAAAATTAAAACGTTAAGCCCAAGCATTCTTATTTAACAGACTGCATATATGTGCCAAGTGTGGGGAATGTTTATGGTTCACTGGACTGTGTTGTATGCCAGACACTTAGAAGAAACCTTCCAGAGAGATGGCCTAACTTATTGGAAATTAAGGCTCAAACCCCATGTTTTTTCCTTTTAAAAATATATATAGCTGAAACCGGTTTGGCTCAGTGGATAGAGTGTCGGCCTGTGGACTGGAAGGTCCCGGGTTCGATTCCGGTCAAGGGCATGTACCTTGGTTGCGGGCACATCCCCAGTAGGGGGTGTGCAAGAGGCAGCTGATTGATGATTCTCTCTCATAGATGTTTCTAACTCTCTATCCCTCTCTCTTCCTCTCTGTAAAAAAATATATATATATCAATAAAATACATGAAAAAAAAATATATATATGCATATGTTTTATTGACTGGAGAGGAAGGAAAAGGAAAGACAGAAACATCAATAAGTGAGATTAATTGATTGGCTGCTTCCTGCAAGTCCCTTACTGGGGATTGAGCCCATAACCCTTCATGTGCCCTGTCGGGAATCAAACTGTGACTTCCTGGTTCATAGGTTGATGATGCTCAACCACTGAGCCACATCAGCAGGGCTTTAATTTTTTTTATTTTTATTATGAAACTAGAGGCCTGGTACATGAAATTCGTGCACAGTGAGGGGAGACGGGGAGGGTCTCTCAGCCTGGCCTGAACCCTCTCACAGTCTGGGAGCCCTTGGGGGATGTCTGACTGATGCCGAGGCAGGAGAGGCTCCCGGCTCCACCGCTTCGCTCGCCAGTGGTGAGCCTGGCTTCTGGCTGAGTGGCACTCGCCCTGTGGGAGCGCACTGACCTAGGGGGCAGCTCCTGTATTGAGTGTCTGCCCCCTGGTGGTCAGTGCACATCGTAGCAACGGGTCATTCCGCTGTCCAGTCAATTTGCATATTAGTCTTTTATTATATGGGATATTTAGACATTTTCCAGGAAAAGGAATCTATAAGTCAGTGGCATTTTTAAAAAAAGGCAAAAACAAAGAAGAAAACAGGAGAAAAAAGAGAAACTAGCAGTGCTCTGGATTTTAAAAGATCAAATAATAGTGTGGATCTTAATTAGATTCTGATTTGAACAAATGAACTATGAAAATACATATTTGCTATTATAAACATCTTTCTATAACCAAAAAAATGTTGGTTATAGACCTGGAAATAGATTTTAGCAATAAACTGTCAGTTTTGAGGTATATAAGCAAATGCTCATATTTTAGAGATGGATTCTCAATATGTGAAGGAATGAAATTACCTACTTGGGATTTGCTTTTCAATATTTCAGCAAAGGAAGAAAAAAAGTGGAAGGTGAAGTAAATTTCAGCAAACTTAACAATCGTTGTGTAATTTCCAAAGTAATGGAAATTTACTGTACTCTTTTTATGAAAGTTTAAATTTAAAATATTTTTTTTTACAAATTATCCACAAATTTAAATTGGGGGTGAGGTTAAGGTCGTAACTCTAGACCTTTTAGACCTGTGAAGTGTCTGTTATGATCAATCACGAACTGTATATCTAATTATTGACAGATTAAGTCAGTTGATTTTAGTAAACTCTATTATAGGAGGGAAATGTACTCTGAAGTCACCACAAACTTCCATTTGCCAAAGTTCTTTTGAATGGCATCCCTGCTTTCATGCTTGATCTCTAGTCATTCTCCACCTCTAGCTGGAATTATATTTAAACCCATAATTCCAACTCTAGCTGGTTTGGCTTAGTGGACGGAGTGTTGGCCTGAAGGGTCCCAGGTTTGATTCTGGTCAAGGGCACATACATGCTGGGATTGCGGGCTCAATCCTCAGTGGGGGGCATGCAGAAGGCAGCTGACCAATCATTGATGTTTCTGTATCTCTCCCCCCTCCCTTCCTCTCTGAAATCAATTATATATATATATATGTAATTTATTATATATATATATATATATATATATATATATATATATATTTTTTTTTTTTTTTTAAAGACATACCGTAATTCCAATCACCTCATTCTCTGATTAAAACCCTCAGTGGACTCCAATTTCTGGAATAAAATAAAAAGTTCTAACACAGCTCATACAGCCCTATGTGAGGTAGCCCTGCATCTCTACTGCCTCCTCTGGGCCACTCATTATGCTCCCACCTCAGTGGCCTCTTTCAGCCCTTCAATGGCTAAGGTCTATCCTGGCCATGGCTTTCCCTGAGCTGGTCACTCCTCTTGGAACATCCTCCCCTCACTTTTCCACAGTGCACCCATTGTTTTCACCTTATATCGATAGAAATAGTTCTTTTCTCCTGTAGCAATTTTCACAATTTGTTTGGGTTTATTTGTTTCATGTCTATTTACCCCACTGTTCTCCATGTGTGTTCTGATTACCACAGTCAACAAGATTCTATTTTTATTGAATTCAGTTAAGAAATATTTCTTCCCAACCTTCCAGCCCCATAGGTATCATATGAATATTGAAATTGGATGGAAGGAATTTGATGAATATTATCCAAAAAGTTGACTTATTCTTCAGAGAAATTAGGGCGGAGGGAGCAGAGCGCATCTGAGAGGAGAAATATTAATGCAGCAAGTGATGATTCAGTTGCAGAGCGAAACCTAACAAAAAGGAGTCAGCCCACTGTGATTCTCGGTGTGTTTCAGCTCATGAACTTGTATTGCTCTGTGATGCCTTTTCCTCTCAGTCAGTGCCCTGACTTCTGTCCTAGTCCTCTGCTGTGCAATGAAGCACAGCCCTCCACCCCCAGGGGGAAGGATCAGGGAAGGGATCCAGACAACTGACTGGGATCTCGCACTCCCGTGCCAGGGAGCAAAAGTTGGCAAAATACATGCAAATACGTATACATCCACAATCAGAGTGTTTTGTGTTTTTGTTTTTTTTTAATCACAGGGAGTTTTTAACACACTAGTTTAAAAATTGAGAGCTCAAACATACAAAATTTGAACAAGACAGTTAACAACTTTGAGCTACTGGACTTATATATAATTGCACACCTTGTGATTATTTTTAAAGTTTAACACTATAGCCAAAACCGGTTTGGCTCAGTGGATAGAGCGTCAGCCTGCAGACTGAAGGGTCCCGGGTTCGATTCCGGTCAAGGGCATGTACCTTGGTTGCGGGCATATCCCCAGTAGGGGGTGTGCAAGAGGCAGCTAATCGATGATTCTCTCTCATCAATGTTTCTAACTCTCTACCCCTCTCTGTAAAAAAATGAATAAAATATATTATAAAAAAAAAAAGTTTAACACTATATGGTGCTTACAATGTTCCAGGCACTGTTGTAAGTGGTTTATAGCAGCTTATTAAAGAATTAAAAAGTACACATTCTTATTTATAAAAGTGATCTTGTACCAGGTCACAAATAAGTCTCAACAAATAACAAAAATTCAATAGCTAAGGTAGTAAAAGAACCAAAACAAGTAAGATAGCAGGTTCACTGACACAGACCAGAAGAGACAGAAAGGGAGAGAGGGGACGGGTGAAATGAGGAAGTGTTAGCTCTACAACTGCACTGGTACAGAAGAAAAGTATAAAAATCAACACAAGACATGGCCAAAGGCATATCCAAACCCACAGTCTGCCAGAGAAAGAGTGCCAGAGTTTATGCTGCCCACTGGCGTTTTTTTTTTTGCTGCCTCATCTCATTTTCATACCACTTCTGTTAAGTACAATTAATTATGCCTATTTTGTAGAGGAAAAAGCCCAGGGAAGTTAGTGACTGGGCCAACATTACACAACTCCTAAGTGACAGAGCCAGGAGTTTACCTCAGGTCTGCCTGACTCCAAAGTCCATGCTCTTTCCACATCACCATGTTTATAAAAGTCACAAAAATATAAATACCATAAAATTCCACTTACTCAACACTCTTGGGATGAGTCATGCTGCACAGATGAATAAGGGAAAGGCCGCCCGCAGGAAACACTGTTCACAGTCTCCGAGGTTAGAGCAGAGAGGACTCCAAAGCCTGTGCGGAGGAAGCTGCTCCTCCCCGTTTCTCCTCCCTCTTGGGGTTCCGGCATTGGAAGCCCAGCACACCTGGTGTCTAACTGACACGCACTTCCAGTGGAAGATGGCCACAGATTCCCTTTTATGTAAAAAACAAACAAACAAACAAAACACACACACACACACACACAAAAATCCTCACTTGAGGATTATTGAGTACAAACCCCAACCAGGGATTGAACTTGCATCCTTTTTGGGTGTACTGAATGACACTCCAACTGAGTCGTCCGGCCAGGGCTCCTTTTTCCTTTTTGCCCCCTCAAAGCACAAATCAAATAGACTGATAATTCAGAAATAATTTTAGCACAAACTAAGGAAAAACAAAACAAAAAATGTTTTTTTAAAAAATATATATTTTATTGATTTTTTTTACAGAGAGGAAGGGAGAGAGATAGAGAGAAACATCCATCTGCCGCCTCCTGCACACCCGCTACTGGGGATGTGCCCGCAACCACGGTACATGCCCTTGACTGGAATCGAACCTGGGACCTTTCAGTCCACAGACCGATGCTCTATCCACTGAGCCAAAGCGGTTTCAGCAAAACAGAAAATGTTTACTGAAAATACACCAGTTGGATTCCCAAAGCACAGTTTTCTGATACCAGACTGGGCACGCAACCAGGCCTGAATGTTAAACACTGCTCCCTTGGTCCTAAAGGGTGTCACAACTCTGCAGGCCTATCTTCATCTCGTTCCTCAGTATTTTGCTATCTCCTGGCCAGTGGCTTTCAGTATTTATCGTGTTCACAGTTCTTGAAATGGGTCTAATGATTCCACCTATGCTTCCATATGTAATCTTCCTGAATTTTAGATTTCTCATCTCAGAAAAATGGAATGATGAAAATATATAACTCAAATCAAATCGGGACATCATGTAAGTGTATGGTACATAGTAAGCACTCATCTCTGCACCTGTGCATCTCTGCACTTCTCCTTCTCTTTCTTTATCACCATCCTGACAATTATCGCTAACTAGAGGCCCGGTGCACAAAATTGGTGCATGGGTAGGGTCCCTACCTCTGGTTGGTAATCAGAGTTGATTGGGGACTTCTGGTTTCTGGCTGGGGCCTTTCTTCGTTCTGCGCTGCCCCATGATGGTCAGCACACATCATAATGAGCGACCAAACTCCCAGTTGGTCAAACTTCCAAGGGGACAATTTGCATATTAGCCTTTTATTACATAGGATGACTGAGTACTGACTATGTTCCAGGCACTGTTTTAAGCACTTGTCATGCATGAATTAATTAATTTATTCCTAACTACAATCTTATGAGGTAGATTCAATGACCACCTTAATTTTATGAAGACATGGAGATACCAAGAGGACAAACAAGTTACCCAAGTTCAAAAGCTGGGACTTAAATCTAGCCAGTCCGGCTCCAAAACCATCATGGTATACCACGTACAGAATGGATGCTTCTTTGTTAAAGTTAGTTATCCAGCCCTACATTCCTCCACCTAGATTGCCTTTCTGGTCTGTTTCCATCTCCAACCAGGCCTATAAAGTGGACATTAGAGTAAGAAGAAAGAGAATTGATGGAATATCAAATAGGGCCCACAAGTATTTCCAGTCATATGCAGATATATTATATATTTTATGATTAAAGATGCATCTACTTTATAATCTTCAGTATTGTTTGAATTCTTAGAGCAGACATTTAATACTTCCAAAATCAATTTTAAAACTGTATAAAGTAGATTCACTTGGGCGGGGGGGAAATGCCACACATCAGTAACTTTGAAAAGAAAGAAGAGATTGCATATAGGAGGAAAGGTTTTTGTTTGTTTATTTAAAGTCAGTAAACAGCATTAAAATAAGAACTTAGCCCTGGCATGGGTTAGTCAATGGTTAGAGTGTCAGCCCCCAGCAACAAAGGGTCTCAGGTTTGATTTCCAGTCAAGGGCACATACCTGGACTGCAGGTGTGATCCCCAGTTAGAGCCAGTGCGGGAGGCAATCAGTTGATGTGTCTCTTTCATCTTTCTCTCTTTCTTTCTATTTCTTTTCCCCACCCTTCCACTCTCTCTAAAAAATCGATGGAAAAATATCCTCAGATGAGATTAAAAAAAACAACAAGAAACCAACTTAGTAAAAAAAATATTTTCCCATATCAGTAGGACAGTGATTAAGAACAAGGATTAAGAGCAGAATGGGCTGAATTTTAGCAACTGAACTTTACTAGCTGTCTGAACTTTACTTCTAGGTTTTCTCATCTATAAATGGAATAATATAATAATACCCATCATCTAGAGATATACCGTATTTTCCGGTGTATAAGACTATTGGGCGTATAAGATGACCCCCTAATTTTACAGTTAAAACATAGGTTTAGGCCTATATTCGCTGTATAAGACTACCCCCCACTTCCGAGGCAACACCAGTTCTTTTTTTAATAGACCACCTCTCTGACTCTGGCCAATCTGAGCAGGCTTTTTACTAGAACACAGTGTAGCTTCGGGTACAGAACATGTATAATTTGCATGCATAAAAAGCCTGCTTGGATTGGCTGAGTCAGAGAGGTGGTCTGAGCAGCCTTGCAGTGACTGATACGGGATCTAGTTGGAAAATTCGTTTAGCGGCATATCCAGACGTTTTTCAGGATATTCTCGGTGTATAAGATGACCTCCGATTTTCGGTTGACTTTTTTTCGTTTCAAAAGACGTCTTATACGCCGGAAAATACGGTAGTTAGGCTTAAAATAAGACAATATATAATAATTAAGGTGCTTGGTATGGTACATTTTCTTTACAACATCATTGTAATGGCTGAATAGCATTCTGTGTTATGACTGAGCTAGGATTTATTTAACCAGCCCCTCATTATTAAACATTTGGTTCATTTTCAATACTATGAATATAAAAACATTTTCATACATTTGTGGTTATTTCTTTAGGGCTAAATCATAGTGCTTTGGTGGATTGAAGAATATCACTGTTGTAAAATTATCAACCAACACATAGTTTTACCAAGTTAATCTCTGTGTTGAAGGTATTTAGTCAACTACTGCCAATAATGGGTATAATTCTAAAGAAATATGCTAATTTTATAGGCCCCCAAAAACCCCCATGTTGTTATTTTACTTGTTTATTAGATGTTTCAATTTCTTCTTTAGTTATATTATAAAGTTCTTAGACTCCATAAATTAGAGTATGAGCTTGCTGGAAAATAATTGAAATAAAAATTTTTGAAAAAAAATTTGAAATAAAAATTTTAATGTAGCATATTAAAGATGTGGCATTTTAAGTTATATATGATGGGATGAATTTTTCCAATGATTTCCAAAGTACCCTCTGGAGCTTCTTCTAGGGGGGGAAGGAGGGGAGGGTAGGAATAAGGGCAGGGATGCTATCAGGTTGAAATAAGTCTTACCTTGCCCCATTTCAACTGCATTTATCTATTTTACATATTGAACTTAAAGTTGATCTGAAGGGTTCTGAACCTGGAAACAAAATCAAAATACATTTAACTAAGTTTTTTTCCCCTTTTATTAAATCCTAGAGGCATGATGCACACATTCATGCGTGAGTAGGCCTTCCTTCCCCCAGCTGCCAGCACCAGCTTCGATTCCTTCCAGCACCCGGGCTTCCCTCGCGGAGGGAGGCCCCACCCACCCACAGCAGCACACTGGTTGGTGGCCTGGGTCTCCTTCTGCAGGACAATCATGGGGAGATGGCCGGGGCCCCTGACCAATTGCATCACACCTGCCAGTGGGTGTCATAGTATGATCCCAGACAGTCGTCTGGATGGTTGTTCCACTGTTCAATGGTTTGGTCAATTAGCATATTATGCTTTTATTATATAGGATTTTTTTTTTTATTGATTTCAAAAAGAAGGAAGGGAGGAGAGAGAGATAGAAACATCAATGATGAGATCATTGATCAGCTGCCTCCTGCATGCCCCCTTACTGGGGATGAAGCCCACAACTCAGGCATGTGCCCTTGGCCATAATTGAATTGAGGACCCTTCTGTTCACAGGCCAGTGCTCTATCCACTGAGCTAAACCAGCTAGGGCCCAAAACCACATTTAAAGCAAGATTTTGGGACAATTGGTATTTTGCAATATAAAATAAAAAGATAAATAAGTTGAATACCTCACATACATACAGAAATATAAAACATTAAATAAATAAAAAACTCCTTAAATTATCAGAAAATATGGGCATTAACTCCTTTTCAAGCACACTGATAAAACTAGAGAACATAGAGAGAGATACTATTTGTTCAGCTGTTTTTTTCTAAAATGTGTGCCTCTGATACAGATTCAAAACATTTTTACAGTCAAAGTGTGGAAATGCTATATATCAATAGTTGTGCTAAGGGATGGCTTAGGGCACTAAACACCCCATTATCTCTATTAGCTTCTCCAGATCACCCCCAAATACCTGGTATAGCTCTAAATAAAACAGTGAGCAAAACAGATGTGGCTGAAGGACATATCCTAGTATCTTATTCTGTGAGCAGACTCTTGACACTAAGGTCTTCCTCTCCCTAGACATTCTGGAGCCATCACTGCTGCTCTCTGCAAACAGTCACAATGTCATCAGCATAGAGGGTTCTGAGAAGACCTACAAGTGGGAAAAAAAAGAAAACTTAGTATACTCATCATTCCCTAAACTTATTTTCTTATAGGACTCTTCCCTCAACATCTGTTACTATCCATTGAATTCATGGAGCACACCTTCACAAATGTCAAGATATATGAAATTAGTATTTGAATGGGAAAACGTTGATTGAGAGGAGTCCTTGTGAAATACTGTCCATTTATTGCTATTTTACCAATGTTCAACTTGAGGTGCTCTCCAATATTGTGATTCGCTGACAACTAGTGCCAATGCTTTAATTTAGCACATACATATCATTTCCTACAATAATTTATATATCTATATTTCCTTTCCCCAATCCTTACCTGAGGATATGCTTATTGATTTTTAGAGAGGAAGGGGGATAGGGAAACATTGATGTGAAAGAGAAATATCACTTGGTTGCCTCCCCCAGTACCCCTACCAAGGACTGGGGATCAAACCTGAAACCGCTCAGTTCACTGAACGATGCTCCAACCGAGCCACCTGGCCAGGGCTACAATAGTACGTATATTGCTGCCCAATTAGATAAAAACTACTTGCAGCCAAGACCGGTTTGGCTCAATGGATAGAGCATCGGCTTGGGGACTGAAGGGTCCGGGGTTCGATTCCGGTCAAGAGCATGTACCTTGGTTGCGGGCATATCCCCAGTAGGGGGTGTGCAAGAGGCAGCTGATTGATGACTCTCTCTCATCGATGTTTCTAACTCTCTATCTCTCTCCCTTCCTCTCTGTACAAAATCAATAAAATATATTTAAAAAAAAAACTACTTGCAAACTGTGTTGGGTTTAAATTCGTGTACATCATAACTACAATGCACTTATACCTTGGAATACTATAAAATGTGTGTGTAAATGATCCACAGAGCTAAACAAGTATGCTCTTCTCGCACCTATTAAATATGACTTATGAAACTATACATTCGGACAATGTGTCTGACAGTACTTGTTCTGACCTTTCCCTTACTTTTAAAAGAAACTGAATTAGACAGTATTTGTGACAGAGCTAGAAGGAACAGGAAAAGAGGTCTGTCCATTTCTACAGAAACATAAAGTTGTTACTGGAATAAAGATGCAAAAGGTATTTCTTTCACTAGTAGTAAATTCGTGAAATTTATTTTCTTTTACATCAAAAGTAACCATTGAGTTCTAAATAAAGGGCAAATGAAGAGGAGGCAAAGGCACTATAATTGCAGTGGTTATTTGGCCCAGCCACTTAAAATTCATGTTAACTTGAATTGTGAAGTGTTAGATTTATGAGCATTTTTATTCCACTTCTGATCTATATTAAATGTATCTCTGTATTGTTTACTTTAAAACATCAATGCAAATTATTTTACAAATATGTTATATTACTAACTTCCCAGGTCTTTTGCTACTCATTCTAGATAATTAGTTCTTTTTAAAAACATTTTTAATGGACTTTTATATTTAAAAATGTATTTATTGATTTCAGAAACATCAATGATGGGAATCAATGATCGGCTGCCTCTAGCATGTCCCCTTCTGGGGATTGAGCCCACATCCCGGGCATGTGCCCTGACCAGGAATTGAATGGTGACCTCCTGATACACAGTCGATGCTCAACTACTGAGCCACACTGGCTGGGCAGCACAATTTTTTTAATATTGCAGAGAATTTGTGGATTTTCTACAAATATATGCTTGGATCTCAAGCTGAGAAACACTGTCATGGATGATAGCCATTCATTCATTCACTGAACAATACTGTGTGCTTGGCTCAGGGAGTCCGACAATCAACAAACTCCCTGCCCTTATGAACAGCCTTACAGTCTAATGGGGAAAGAGGAGAATAGACAAGTAATCATGTAAGTTCAGATAGCGATTAGTGCTGTAAAGAAAGTGAGCAGGACTAGGAATGGAGAGCTGAAAGGACAGGGGTACTGTCTTAGAAAGGCTGGCAGGAATGGCATCATGGCTGAGATGTGAGCAGACGTTAAAAGAATGCTTGGGGAAGAGTTTTCCAGGCAGAAGAGCAAGTTCAAAGGCCTTGAGATAGGAATGTACTTGGAGTCTTTGAAGACCAACCAGGAGGCAGGCCAGTGTGGCTGAAGCACAGCCAGGAAAAAAAAAATGTCAAACAAGTAGCAGGGGCCAAATCGCACAGGGTCAGTAATGTAGTCATGACTTTGGTGGTTCTAAGGGGGAAAAAATGGGATTGCAGAAGGCATGCTTTATCACATGTGTCAAACACAAGGCCCGCGGGCCAAATCCGTCCCGCCAGGCCTTGCAATGTGGCCCGCACCGCGCTGTCATCACTGCACTCCGCTGTGTTTCCATCACAGTGACAGTTTATGACTGTTCAGTAAACCATTCGGCCCGCGATTTAGGCTGGATTTTAGATTTTGGCCCCTTCTCTGATTGAGTTCGCCACCCCTACGATAGACACGAGGGGGAACTATGTCTCTAAAACTCAACTTTTTTTATTTTACTTTGTAAAGTCAACTTTATTTAGATATGATGTCTGTACATCAAACACACCCACTTTCTGAATACAGGATGAGTTTGGGCAAAAGTATATAGCCATGTCACCATCATTATAATCAAGATAAAGAAAATTTGCATCCTCCCCAAAAGTTTCCTTGTTTCCTTTTGCTGTCAGTCCCCATTCTTTTACCCTCTACCAGAGCCAGGACTCACTGGAGTTTGGGACTCATTAATTTCAATGTGCACTTGGAGGACTTAGTTCTGTCCTGTCTAATAGGGTAGCCGCTAGCCACAGGTGGCTACTTAAATTTAAACAAAACGAGTTCAGTTTTTTAAGCCACACATGGCTAGTGGCTGTCATAGGACAGGACATGCATAGGATTCTTCCATCACTACGGGCAGTTCTATTGGGCAAAGCTGAGATGTTACCTTGTTGGAATTTGACTTCCACCACATGGAAGTAGAACAAGCAGCATGAAAACTGTGTAAACCATATAAGTCACATTACCTAGCTTTATGTTACTGTGTTTACTACATTTATCACCAAGTAATTAATAATAAAGCCCATGGGTATGGGAGGGGAGTGTTTACTGGGATAGCATGATAATGGCAATAGTAATTATGAAATTGTTCACCACAGAAATTCTTCCTCCACTATTAAGTTTATTGAATATCCTATTTTTATTTAGGGAAATGGTCATTTCCCTTATAACTCATAAGGCACAATTTTGTTTTAAGCGAAGTTAAACCTCAAAATCATACTGACTATATCTGTGTTTTGTTTGTTTTTCTAAAGAGGTGAGGTGTTTTTTTTTTTTAAATAATATATTTTTCTTGATTTCATAGAGGGAGAGATAAAACATCAATGATCTCGACTGGGGATTGAGACTGCAACATGGGCATGTGCCCTGACCAGGAATTAAACCATGACCTCCTGGTTCGTACATAGGTTGATATTCAACCACTGAGCCACGCTGGCCATGCTCTATTTATGTTTGTGTGTGTGTGTCCCCAATCCCCCCGAAGGCAGGATTCTAAAGCAAATATGATAAAATATTGACATATGTTAAACCAAGTAGTGAGTGCATGAATATTTTATTTTTTTAACCCTCACCCAAGGATATTTTCCTATTGATTTTTAGAGAGAGTGGGAGAGAGAGGGAAAGACAGAGAGAAATATTGATCACAATTGGTTGCCTCCTGCACGCGCCCCAACCAGGGGCATGCCTGGAAGAAGTCTGCAACCGAGGTACATGCCCTTGACCCTTCAGTCCGCAGATCAATGCTCTATCCAGCTAAGGCTGAATATTTTAAATATTATTTTGCTGCAGACTTTTCAATGTTTGAAATTTATTGCATGCATACCTCAGAGACATTATGGTTTTCAAACCATCACAAAAAGCAAATGTCGCAATAAAGTAACTCACACAAATTGTTTGGTTTCCCAGTGCATATAAGTTATGTTTACACTACACTGTAGTCTCTTAAGTGTACAATGGTATTAAGTCTAAAAAAAATACATATCTTAACTTAAAAATACCATCACTGAGACTTCAGTGAGTTATACTCTTTTTACTGGTGGAAGGTCTTGTCTCGATATTGATGGCTGCTGACTTATCAGAGTGGTGGATGTTAAAGGTTGTGGTGACTACGGCAATTTCTTAAAATAAGACCACAAGGAGATTTTCTGCCTTGATGGGCTCTTCCTTCCTACAGAGATGGTTTCTCTGTAATATGTGAAGCTGTCGGATAGCATTTTACCCACAGGAGAACCTCTTTCAAAACTGGAGTCAATCTTCCCAAACAATGTTGAGGCTTTCTCAACGAAGTTTATGTGATATTCTAAACCCTTTGTTGTCATTTCAACAATGGTCACAGAGACACTAAGTGAGTAAATGCTGTAGAAAAGGGCACTGATAGACTTCCTTGACGCAGGTTGCCAAGAATGAAGCAAAGAAAAAAGTAGGCTTTTATTTTAAATATTGAACAAGAATATTTAGAGTTATCAAGATTGTTCATAATGTGATTAAACAACACAGGTTAAAAACAGTGTGCACTGTGGAATAGCATGACGGTCAGTATAGCATAATGGCTAAGCATACAGGCTCTGGAGTTAGAGTGCCTGGATTTTAGTACTAATTAGGTCACTGACCAGCAGTGAAACACTGAGCAAGTTAGTTAACTCCTCTCCTCGGTGCCTCCGTTTCCTCATCTGTAAAATAAGAATGATAATAACAGTACCTGGCTCATAAGGCTATTATAAGGATTAAGTACATATATATTGTAAAGACCCAGGTGCATAGTAGATGCCCCATTAAGTGTTAATAGCGATGATGATGATGATGATGATGATGATACAACTTTGTGGGGCTTTTTAAGTATACTTTTTTTTTTTAAGAAAAAAAGAAATTGGAGGATCCATCAAAAATGTTGAAAACTATAAATTCTAATTGATAACAGACTTTTCTTCTTTTTAAAACATTCTATCAAGAAATTCCTTTTGTACTTATACAAAGCAAAACCTTGGCTTAAGCCCTTC